AAATTACGGGTCCACTGTTTAAGACCTGGAGATAGATTGTTCACGGGGAAGGTGATCAGGGCCAAACAAACAAACTTCAAGGTAAAATCAGATCAGCCCAGAATCCAACCACTTCTGCAACATCATGCAAAAAAAAAAAAAAATCTCACATCAACAAAGCCTCTTTATCACAGCCAAGTAAAAGGCAAAGATGAGAGAGAGGAAAGAACTGCCGCAAAAATATCTGTATGTCAAAAAATAGGAAAAATATTAAGCATACATTTCATGCAGTCCAGTTCATGTTACAGATATAATTTCTGCTCCCACTCCCAAAAGCATTTGTATACAACAACATGGGCAGGATAAAAAGTCCCTTGATAGATGCATGCCAAATACGAAATATTTCTAAGACATGAGAGATAACAAAGGCATGTCAAACTGCTTATTGAAAATATTTGCATTTTGGTCTATTTCCTACGAGAGCCTTCTAAAGAAAGCATAATAAAGAAGTTCCCCAAGTATTCTCCAAAGCATTTGTTCCCCATGTTGGTATAAAACCTACAACACCTGCAAGCAGTGTCACAAAATCACAGAAGGGTTGGGGTTGGAAGGGACCTCTGCAGGTCATCTGCTCAAGCAAGGTCTGTAAAGCAGGTTGCCCAGGGTTTTCAATACCTCCAAGGATGGAGATTCCACAGTCTCTCTGGGAAACCTGTTCCAGTGACCAACATCACAGCAAAGGAGTGTTTTCTTACATTCAACTGGAATTTCCTGTGCTTCAGTTTGTGCCCATCGCCTCTTGGCCGCTGGCACTGCTGAGAAGACTCTGGCCCCTTCATCTTTACATCTCCCTGTCAAATAATTAATAACACTGATAAAATCCTCCTGAGCCTTCTGCCCAGGTCTCCGAGCCTCTCCGCAGATGACAGATGCTCCAGCCTCTTTAACATCTTTGTGGCCCTCTGCTGGGCTTGCTCCAGAAGGTCTGTGTCTTTCTCGTAGCGGGCAGCCTGGACAGAGCTCGACCCAGCACTCCAGGTGTGGCCTCACCAGGGCTAGGCAGAGGAGAAGGATCACCTCCCTCAACCTGCTGGCAACGCCCTGCCTAACACAGCCCAGGATACCACCGACCTTCTCTGCCACAAGGGCCCATTGCTGGCTCACAGTCAACTTAGTGTCCACCAGGACCCCCAGGGCCTCCTCTGCAGAGCTGCTCTCCAGCAGGTCAGCCCCCAGCTCCAACTGGTGCCTGGGCTTACTCCTTCCCACATGCAGGTCTTGGTATGTCCTTTTGCTGGGCTTCATTAGATGCCTGTCAGCTCATTTCTCCAGCCTGTCAAGGTCCCGCTGAATGGCATCACAACTATCTTGTGTATCAGCCACCGCTCCCAGTTTTGCATTGTCTGCAAACATGCTGAGGATGCATTCAGTCCCATCCTTCAGGTTGCTAATAAAGATGTTAAACATAAGTATTGATCCCTGGGGTACACCGCTAGTGACTGTCGAGGAATGATTTTCCAGAACTGGATTCTGAATTTACTCCTCTCTACTCTCCAAAACGACTATTCAATCCAATCTATTCAGCGTGCGATTCCCAGCTTGCCAGGCTCTTCTCCACGTGTTAAAACGTCTATAAACCTTTTGAATCAGCATTCCTTAAAAGCTAATCCTGTAAAGTAACAGCACACAAAAAAACAGAGACATTTCAGACAACTGAATGAGACTGGGGGAATTATCATTCCAAGACAAGTAATAGCTAAACTTTTCCATCTTCTTTGTCTCCTACTTTGTCGGGCTTCCTAGTGCTTCTTGGGTGGGGGAGAGAGGGAAAGAAAGGAAATAAAAAAAAAAAAAAGAGGGGCTGTGCTCCAGCAGAGAAACCCTTGAGCTGCAGAAGTTTAGATGCTGCTGTTCTGTATCTGTTAAGTATGAAGTGTCCAGTACGGAACAGACTATCGGAAGTGTTGAGAGGGAAAGTTACCCCAACCAGTGTATCCTTCTTCCTCTTTCCTACTTGCAGTTTTCTAGCAGTTTGAGAACAACCAACCCAAACAACCAACTGCGCACGGCTGAATCCAGCACCCAGAGGGACAGACTCGGGTCAGCGAACAAGACAACACCTGCTCACCTGAGCAAAGACCTCTGCAAGCAGAAAAACCTTTCTCTGTACTACACCCTGTGAAGGCAACTGCCACCCAAATTCCAGACTTCAAAGTTTTTATTTTTAGCATAGCAACCTTGAGGAGAAAATGATGACCTAAACAAGCAATTGTCTACTCCAGATATCCTGCCTGTGAGAACAAAAGCACATAAGGAAGTGTTGTGAGCAGTCTATCAACGGTTCATGAAGTGGAAACTGTTAGAAACAATTACGTTAATACACCAACACAAAACCACTTGAGAAAAAACAAGCATTATCACTGTCTAACTTTACTAAAACCACTTCTAAAATACTCTCATGTCTGCCTAGTTTGCAAAGTACAGCTATATTTAAAAAAAAAAAAAAGCTACATATATGGCAAATCCAAGGGGCAAAAAATCTGGTAAGACAATCTCATTTGTACCTAACGAAAATGAGGAAAATGAAACTATTTCACAACCAGTCAAGGAGGTTTTGTTTTCATTGTTACTTAACTCTGTTTTTCACACATACCTCAGAGTAGACAAATACTTGGGGAAATAGGGGAAAGAGAAGTTTTGAGTTTGAAACAGTTGCAGAGACCTCATGGGTGAAAAAAATCATACCTCCTGCAAACCATAAAAACAGGAACTTGTTCTTAAGACTTACCTATAAAGTCTGGGTTTGAAACATCATTACCCTGGATCCAGTCTAAAACACTAAATGCAGGTGAGAATGATTAGGAACAGCGCAAAAAACTTCCAGGGGCAGCCTTAAAGTTGAACTCATCCGCAATTGACCTGAGACTGGATGCAGTCATGACATGCTTGCGAGTCTGCGGGCCTTTGCTTGACACTGGAAATGAAATCCTACTCTCAGGAATGAAAGTTTCCATGAAACATCTACTGAGAAATTATTCTCTGACAGCTTGACTTGGTATCAAATGACACACACTCTCATGGGCTTTAGGAATTGCTATCTTTTCAAGATTAAATGCAGAAGATTAAAAAAAGAAGGAAAAAAGTAATCTCTGTAATTCACCGAGTATAAACATACTAGGAAAAACTATCAGAAAAAAGTTCCCCCTGTGATCCCTTCTACATCAAACCTTCTCATAAGGAGACACTTTCAAATAATCTGGAAGGAAAGCAGGGAGATTAAGGGAAAAAACAAAAACAAAACAAAACAAAACTTTCCACACGTTCTATAAACCATCATCATTCGTTTTTGCTCTGTTATGTTTTTATACGAGTGCCAAGTTTTATATTTACTTGACAGAGCTTTCACGCAAAACAATGTCTCCCATATGGCAGACTTCACTTGCACAGCAGACCAGGATTAGCACAACGTGGATGACTGCGTCAAGGAAGAAAAGACTGTCCAAAAGAAATGGCACAATCTAGTATTTTGCAACGTAATCATGATAGTTCGGCACGGATAAAGCAGAAGAGTGTTTGCAGCTAAATACAGCAACACTAAACTGTGGACAGCTTTGAGGGCAGAAAACAGCAATCAGATAAGACAAATTCCCCTGCACAGCAGAAATATTTACATTTTATACTTAAAGGATAAATAATTAGATAAAATGTTTGTGTTGGGGTGAGTGGAGAAGAAGGACTGGCAAAAGACTGGAGAAAAAACTATACTCACACCCATGACTGAAGCAAGCAAGAGCATTAACGCATGCTGAAAACGCTGCATCTAACATTAGCGTAAAGCAACAGATAGTATTCCGAACGACAAATTACATTCACAGAAAAGTAGTCACATATGTCCAAAACTCTCACTCTCCTCCCTGATTTACATCAAATGTTTCTTCACTGGATTTGTACCAGCTCTCCAAAAGGTCTTTGCAAAGATACCTGTATCACCTGACTCATCCTTCCTTCTCTCATGCTATGACTGAATGCCAGTGTACTGAACCAGGAACAAATGCTAATTCTTACTAATAGCATTTCTCACTACCTATTGCTATTAGTTTGTGACACTAGTACTGCTCGTGACTTATTCATTCCGATTTTACACCAAGGTTTCACTTGACTTTTGCCCGGCTCCTTAAGATATCTGAATTGCTTTACTACTTATTTAGAAAGCTTCTAACCCCTCCCCACTTTCCTTCCTTCTAAAGTTAGTCTTTAATATTGCAGTTACATCATATTATCTTCTTCCAAAGTTGATTCATTT